ATCTCTAATTCACTTTTTGGATTCTACAAATAAATATAGCTTCTCAGAATCTAGACTAAAAGGTAAACTGTTTGGGGGAGTTTCTAATTATGGGAGAAGCTGCAACAGCAAGAAACTTCCCCCAAACAAACCCTTATTCTACGTGGCATATTTTTTGAACGACTCGCACCAGACAACGCGAAGTTCATATTAATAGAGTAGAGAAAAAAATTGAGAAAATCTATGAAATGCCATTGACAAGCAACCTAATCTCAGAAATGACATCGACAAAGACAACTTCCCAAAAATACCATTGTACAAGCCTCTTTCTCTCAGAAATGCAATCACACCATAAGTGCTGTTAACTCCTCTTCATTAAGTTGTATGAAAAGACAATCTTACCCCTAGACATCTATTTGCTCACACATCATCATTCTGTATTGTTTGCTCACACAATATTATTTTGCATTCATGCATACTAGCCAATTAAGTCGCCCGTTTGTGCGACCATGAGTAATTCACCTATATCACATTTTCCCTATCTCATATTGTAATATTATTACCTTTTTTGTACAACAAACCGTAGCCCTTTGATTATAACACTGAATCTAGCTTGCCCAAAATTGTACTCTCTGGCTTCCAAGTTACCGAAAATGGAACTGAAAATTATACTCTCCGGCTTCCAAATGGATATAAGTGAAAACGACTGAAAATTTGTTCGCATACAGAGCTGACTTTAAATTCATATCATAAGAGGAATTGGAATAATAGGCAATGGAAAAGTATTTTGGTGCCAAACAGATTAAATTCTGTGTTTTGGACTTGTAATTAGTAAAGGAAGGCAACAGCCATGATTAGAAGGGAATTGTGGAAATAGTATTTACAGGCCAAATACTCCTCTATCTAAATGCAACTCAATCTGGAATTAGAAAAAAAATATGTTGGCAAGCTAGGCTCATATTAGAACTTTCATGAGCTGACGTGCTTGTCCAGGAAAGTGTTTTCAAGATTACTAGGGCACTTTGATTCGCAGGATTGAGAAAACGTAGGAATAGGAAAAACGTAGGATTTTGATAGGAATGTAAGTGTAAAACAGAGGATTGCGAAACGCAGGAAAAACACAGGAATGACCGTTTGATTGAACCACAGGAAAAACACAGGAATTGGGTGAGAGAGATAGACTCAAAGGAAAGTTAGCAAGAGGTTGAAGCTCTTGCTAAATTTCCTCCAAAATCTCTATAGAATTGTCCATTCCATAGGAATTTCAAATGATTGGATAGGATTCAATTATTTGTTTCAAAGGGCTTCATAGGAAATTTTCCATTAGGATTGAAATCCTCTAAAAATTCCTATGTTTTTCCTCCAAATCAAAGGGGCCCTAAAGCTGGTATTAGCATATCCAACCGCAGCATACTGTTTTACTGCCCTAAGTACATCTTGTTTCAGTGTCTTTCTTTGTTGAAGGTTTCCAGAAATCATACAAAGCCACATGTGCATATAGTTCTGCATATAGTTCTCCTGTCGTGTACTAATTGAAAATGAGTTACTTTCATAGGAAAAAAAACTGGGGAATCGATAATAAAGAACTAAAACTCCTTTCAGCAAATATATGCAAAATTGAATTCCACCAAACCAAGTATTAACTGAAGCATTTGCTGGATCTGCATATATGCAAACAAAACATTAAGGCTTAAATAGGAACTTTGTTTGCTGGAAACAGAAAGAGATGCTTCCTATCTAAGCCCCCATGGACTCAACCTTAATTTATAAACTTGTATAATTCAGTCATAGTTTTGCAGTAAATTCAGTCATCTTGCTGTACTTCTTTCCAATTCATCCCTATAGGTCAACATCTCAATTGACAGTTGCATATTCATTCCAAATTGTTCAGTCACAGTGAGTCACCATATCCCTATAGGTCAACATCTTACTTGGACAGTTGCATGTTCATTCCAAATTGTTCAGTCACCGTGAGTCACTTGAGCAACTTTTTACTGTAACACATTGAAGGAGGCAGCACTAACCTTGCAATGAAGTCATGTGCTTATGACCTCTTATCTCTTTTTGCTATTTGCTCATTTCAATCTAAACTGGAAAGAAGCACTTTTTTTTTATTGGCATCCACGATTCCAGGGGTGTCTCCCTGCCGCTGCCGCCTTCTCCACTCCCATACCTGATGCGTGGGAGCAGGCAAAAGTGCAGGGATAGGGAGGAAGAAGTGGAAGATGGCGGCGTCGCATCATCCCACTCTGTTGCTCCCAGAGGAAAATTGTTGAGCTGCTCAGCCCAGCGAAAGAGGATGCGTGTGGTACCTCAGCCTCGCCGCCACCCATCTTCATCGTCGGTATGGTTTGGATCCCAGCGATTCCTGAGCTTGCGGTGGCTTGCCCCCGATCGAGCTCAGTGCGGGGTGCTTGAATCTGACGAGGAACGCGGTGCGGCCTGGATGGAGCGGCGGCCTCGATTTGGCCACGGCGGGGACGAGGAGCCGACTTCGGAGGCGGTGGGGGGATAGGAGGAAGACGCGGCAGCTGGGATGACGATGACTTGGAGTGGAGGCGGTGGTGTGGCGCAGCGCGCAAAGGAGAGGAGAGGAGGGGTAAATACAGTATAAAAAGAATCGATTCTAAGGGTATGGAAGGATCTAGTTTTGGTATAAGTTTCATCAAGGATGTTTATCTTCTTAATTTATCCATTTGGGGAATCTGATGGTTCTTATTGGCTCACGAAAATATCGAAGTTTTGTTGATGACGTGGATGCGTTAACTTTGCAAGAAAGGATTCATCTTTCATTTAAATTTATATTTCTGTCCACAACTAAATTCACGTACATCATTATTTTGTTATCAATCAAATTATTTCAGAATTAAATTCACAAACTAATTTCACACATTTTGCCATCGCAATTCTTTCAGAAAGAAATTTTGCTATCAATAATCAGGATTGTTTTGCTGAGCAAAAATAGGGCCATACACACAGCAACAGAAGGACAACTGAATCAATCTACTATCCACACACAAAATTCATCTCTTGCATATTTCAAATTCATCAAAAGAAGCAAAACAAATTTACCCTCCTCGTTGGCGCCTGTGGGGCTCTGCTCACCGGCACCTACGGCCCCCACGCCGCACCTCCATGAACCGCGTCAACGTGCCCTGCAACGCCGCCGCCACGAGGCCTCCTCGCCGCTCCCTACCGCGCCGGCGCCGCGGGCCTCCTCGCCGCTCCCTGGACCTCCTCGCCGCGCCGCCGCCCTTGGCCTCCTCGCCGGATCGGGATTTCCCCTCCTCGCCGGCAAAGTCTTCAAAAGAAATCAAACAAAAAGGGAAAAAGTTCAAATCTGAGAGTTGCGCCACTTGCTAGGACTGCAGCCTCCTCCTCCACGGCGACCTCAGCGACTTAAGCTGTGGGCCTCTCCTCCCCCTCGCCGGCGCCTACGGCCCCCGCGCCACATCCTGTGACCGCCGCGCTGCCGTGGACCTCCTCGCGTCGCCTTGCCACGCCGCCGCCCTGCTCCTCCTCGCCATGTCCTGCCGCGTCGCCGCCCTGCTCCTCCTCGCCGCACCCTGCCACGCCGCCATCACCGTGGACCTCCTCGTGGCGCCCTACCACGTCGCCGCCCTGGTCTTCCTCGCCGCACCGCCCCCGTGGACCGCTAGCATAGCGGTGCCACGGGCACCGCCGGGGACTGCCGCCGCGAGACGCCATCGGGGATTGGGATCGGTAGAATGCTGGATCGGGGGGATTGGGATCAGTAGCGATAGGGTTAGGGTTATAATTTTTTTCTTTGACAGTGAACTGGGTATATTTTGCACCGAGGGCAAAATGGTCATTATTAAAAAAATAACGGTTCTAACGGTGTGGAGTTGACGGTGATGGCATTTTTGGAAGAAAGAGGCTTGTGCAATGGCATTTCTGGGAAGTTGGCTTTGTCGATGTCATTTCTGAGATTAGGGTGCTTGTCGATGGCATTTTATAGATCTTCTCAAAAAAATTATAAGAATAGTATTATGTCCATACCTCCAAATTACTCAAAACCAGTGTCACATCTAAAGTAGTGAAATAACTAATCTTTCTCATCACCACAATGAGCCACATCACTCAAAATATTACAGCCGTTGGATCAAACTGACATACAAAACTAGCCTACTGATCTTTGAGCAGCGGTTCAAACATGGTTAAGAAAATTCATGATTCTTTAGGAGGCCTCGAACTGAACACTCCGGAAACATCCACCCATGAACTAGTCTCTGGAAGACTTTACATGTTCAAATTGAGTTGCTTGATCAGTAATGAGGAGAAAAGTGGAAGGAGATGAGTCCGGCACTCCATGCAGGAAGAGGGAATGACTCTGAATTATCCTGCCATTTGTCTTCATCAATCAAACTGTTCCGTTGCAGCAACGCCGTCTCCATCAGAATTCAGAAAAGGGTGTAGACATGCAGTGTAAAGGAGGTTTCAGGGTTAAACCTAGGCTATGTTTAGTTCAGCGCAAAGTTTAGATTTTGGTTGAAATTGGAGATGATGTGACTGAAAAGTTGTGTGTGTATGACATGTTGATGTGATGGAAAATGACTGAAGTTTGGATCCAAACTTTAGATCTAAACACAGCCCTGATACAGTGCTTTTCCTCCACATGCGCTGCTCGAGTATAGGGTGCCTCTCGAGCTATACGTAGGGGAGAGAGGAGAAAGGGAACTGGAGGAAGAAGAATGGAGTCCAAATTGAAATAACATGTAAAGATACCAGGTCCAAAGTGAAAAGATACAGAGACCAAAGTGAAAAGGCTTGGTTTTGTCCTAGTCAAGTCGAAATAATCTAGACTAATATAAAAAATACGAGTTGTTAAGTGCAATTAACACCGCAATTGCAATTAACGCTTATTCTAGACTAATATAAAAAGTACGAGTTGTTAAGTGCAATTAACACCGCAATTGCAATTAGCGCCTAACCATCCAATTAGCGCTTCTCAAAGGAAACCGTCGCCAAATCGAAAAAAAAAAACCGTCGCCAGACCGCCCGCGCCTTCTCCTCCTTCCGCCTCTGCCTTCTCCGCCTTCTGCCGCCGCGCCTCCTCCTCCTCCTTCCGCCGTCGCGCCTCCTCCCCCGCCTTCTGCCGCCCCGCCTACTCCTCCTCTTTCCGGCGACGGGCATGGAGCTGTTCTGCTGTCTAGGCTGAGGGGCCGGAGACGCCGCCGGCGGAGGCTGTGCAGGTACGAGACTCTATTCCTTTTCCATCTGAGAATGTACTTCAGAATGTATAATGCATAACAGATTGAATGTATTATGCACAACCGATTGAATGAATGTTGTCTACATATAGTGCAAACTGAAATTCTCTTCTGGATCAGTACAGGATTACTCCTTGATTTCCATGTATATACAGCTAGACATGATTTTTTTTTCTTTTTCGGATTGCAAGGTCATGGGCGTAATCAAGTTATCTGAATCAAATGTTAGGTTTTGGCAATGAGCAGTGTACAAATTAGCACCCACTTTGGTTCATCAGTTCATGTTTTAACCTTTCTAATTCCCTTCTTTGATTGCATATATGCACATAATATTTTCACTGTTAATTTCTGTTATTTACAGCATCATGTCTTGCTGTACACCTTCTATTAATTGCCTTTTTATACACACACTGTCATTCAAATGATATATTGTGTTTGATTTATGTATGTCAACATAATTCCTCACTGACATGCGCCTAGGCCATTAACACCCGTGACCGCCGTTGCAAGGCTGGGCGCCCTAATGAGGCCGGCGCCATCAAATTACACGACAACACATGGAAAGTCTGCCCATCCTCAACAAAATGAAACCCCTGACCAGGAGAATGATGCTTCCGCAGTCGTACAACCCAGTCCACGAACCAACATAGGTACCATGTTTGTTTCCACAAATTTCTCGATATATACTCTATTAGGCATCATGTTTGTTTACAACAAAACAAGCTATGCTTCCTTTCTAGCTGCATATTTTTTTAGATTCACAAAATATTGCCGTAGCTTATATGCATGCATCTAGATAGCCAATTAGAGTAAAGAGATCTCGCCATTTTGCAGGAATCTTTTCTTCTTAACATTTGTCGCTTTTCCAGCCATTTTTCAGAGTTCAGAGTTTCAGTTTCAGAGTTGTTTTAGGTTGTTTCGTGTGTGCTTCTGCAGGCAGCCAGGCAGAGCTAGGATCCTGGAATGTGTTGGCCACTAACTCATGGGAGCCTGTCGATTAATCGAGTCTATAACACTAGAATAATAATCTTAATCTTAATCACGCAGCTCACGTTTGTTCAGCAAGTTTTGATCTTAATCTTAATCGGCAAGCTCACTGCTGCTTGCGTTTAATATTTTGAGTTGCTATACCTATATTATCAGCTTTGGTGGAGTATGTAACTTTGCTATTTTTATTGGACCCACGGTGATCATTACCAGTAGTACCAACCCTCCATTACTGCCTCTGAGTGCTGCAATAACAGTGCCATATTTTTAGCTTCGGTACCATGTTCCAGTCTGATAATAATGTCTTCTGGATTTAGGTTCTCCTACAACAAATTGTGCCAGAGAGAGGTGCGGTTCACTATGCACTGATGAAAAAGAGGCCAATCTTCAAAAAAAAAACGTGAATACAAGCAGAGCAAGAAGGATAACTTTGCATCTCTAACAGGTACCACAATGCTCTCCTTTTTTTTTTTTTTTTTGCTTCCTGTCATGAATTTGACATCAATATTTAAGCCTTGTTTCAGGAACCGAGTACAGTGATGAAAATATGTCACCGACAATTGCTACATCTGAAGTTCGAAATGAAACACCTTCTAATGTGTCTATTCCTTCTACAATCGTCACAGGTTCACATCACTGCTATACACAAAGAATTGTTTTTTTCCTAACGGAGGTAGGATGCCACTTCAATGCAAATGTTTTATGCAATTTTCTTCAGGTACACCTGCCAATGTTACTAATTTAAGTGCAATCGAACTTAGAAGAAAGCGTGATAGAGAGGTATACGCTTCACTTTCTGCTGTGGTAGTTCATTCGTGAAATTTGAATCTAATAAAAGTACATGACTAAAAACTTATGGTATTTCTTATTTAATCATTGCAAACTAGGAGATCAATCTAGCCCTAGGAGGTAGAAAATGAGGTTTTATGATTAGTATAACAGAGCTGATCAGGTTTTTTTTGCCAGGCAGCTGTTGAGGTACATTGGCCATCCACTTTTGGCTTATGTTTTATGGTAAATGAGTATAATTGTGGTAATGGTGTATGCGTTCGAAGGTGATGCTTGCTTCTATTTTATTTCTGCTCAGCTTGATTAAAACCAAGAAATTATGCACTTTGTCTGGTCAAAAGTGATGCAATTTTTGTCAGCGGTGGTTTAAAATAATAAGGCATCCCTTTCTTTTCTGGCCTTGCAAATCATAGCATTGCTGGAATCATATTATCATGCTGCTGGAATATTTAATTATGTGGATCACCAAATTCTCATGTAATCATGCACTTCTTCCCCTATTAGCATCATTTCTTAATCATTACAAGCAGAAATGGATAATTGTTGATTTGCATACTTGGATATATATCAAGGATTGGAATCAAATTTATAGCCTGATCCTGACAACCGTACCCACTGACTAGCGAAACCTGACATACCTGTGTCTGAAACTCTGGACCAGTCGCTTCAATACCACTTCAAAATTTTCATATTTTCTGTTCTCTAAATTCATATTCAGAAAATGTGAAATTTTAATGAATTCAGGAAAGGACCTAAATATTTGTGTTTCCAGATGAACTGATTCCAGGAATTGTTTTTACTGGTGAATTATGGTGCCAACTTCAAAAGGGTATGATATATCAGACCTCCTGCATTATGGTTCATTGTAGTTGCTTTTTGCTGCATTTTAAAAGTCTTTTTAACTTTGTAATAACGTTTTAAAGAAGGATTTCATCTAAGGTTTGACAGTATTTGAATGTTTATTGAATCAACTACCTCTTGGATATGGGATTGTCTAAAAAAATGGGTGCCCAATGATCTATACATTCTCTCCACTTCTGGGGCTACAGTATTGAGCTTGTTATGAAAACCAAAGCTTGAATTTCCGTTAAGAATACTAGAGGACACAATCTCAATTTTCATTATATTAGAGGACACTATCTATTTTGTGCACAAGTTTAGGGCCTTCTCCACTCTGATGTCCCCATAGCACAGCCAGGGTAACCTAAGCTCTCCACTGGGATGTTCTTTCTCAAAATATTTTTATAGGGTGGCACTTGGCAAAAGGGGTGCGCTTTCTCAAACATATTTTTATTGCATGGCACCTGGTTTTGAAATGTACCTTAACATTTTATTTTGTTTCTGTTGTATGTGACATGAATTTCACGCGAGCACTTGTAATGAGATCACTTTTCGGTGCTACTTGGTTGAATTATGTATTATGATATTGTATTACTGTAGTATGTATGAAGCTGTATTTTTCTTTGTTTTGATACAGTTTCTGGGTAGTGTGTCCGTGGTTGCTATCAAGCTTGATGTTTCTTTTCTTTTATGGATTTAACTATTGTATTTATTATTCTTAGAATTTTACATTATGGTTCTTGCTTTTTGTTGGCTTGAGAACACACTTAGGCTGAGTTTGTTTGTTGCAGTCGGGAACTAATTTATTTGAATGTATCAGTTCACTTAATTTAGTGGCACTGTAGAACATTGCATTGTTCCCTACTTGAAATTTAAACATAGTGGGGGTGGGACTTGGGATATGATTATGTTTAATGTAGGCTGATATGGTAACTATAAGCTTTGGAAAACACCACTGAAGCTAAACTCAAAGGAACGGATTAATGTTGATCCATGCCTTAGCCTTTTTATTTGTGTAATTATGGTCAAACCATCTTTTAATAGTTTTTAATATACCTTTTTCACTTCTCTGCAGCCCAAGTGAAGCAGGACATTCAAAGTGGAATATGCTAGAGCATATTGTTTTGCTAAATAAGTCTAAAGCATGTGGTTGCTATATATTTCTATTTTTCCTGTTCCTAACTTTTTTTCAACCTTTGTAAGTTATAATATTTGTAGAAATATAAGTAAGTTCCTTAATTATGGATTTTGCAAATTGATGTTTCACATGGGTCCCATTTATATGAATTGGCGTTCAAGTTCAGGAAGCATTCAGTTCAAACTGAAGAATTCAAAGCATTTGATCAATTTAAAGTGATCTTGATGAACTTTTGTTTGGAGTCATAAGAAATAATCACTGATTTATAATTTTATATTCTCATTAGTTCCGAAACTCATTAGTCTCATTCAAATTTCACTCGGTTGTAAGGTCGTACTCCCTCCATCCATATTTCATTTTCTGATTTTTTTTTTCAACTAGGATGGGCATATTTGCATTCTTCATACATCTAAGACTTAAATGTCCTAGAACCTGGGCAACCATATTATTACTTATTGGTTGCATGTATCCATACAATTTTTTTTTGTCTCTACACAGAATGAATTGATTTGTCCTTGGTTTCGCTGAAAAAAGTAATATGCCTTGGAGGGTATTTGTTTTTTTTTTAATTTCATCGCCGCATTAGAATTCCATGTGCACTTGTGTTTTGGTTGTAATGAGTGAATTTCTTTTTAATCTTCATTTTGTATGGAAATAAAATGAGGTTTAATTTCTTCTTTGTTTTAGTGATTTATTTATTGTTAGTTGTATTATTAGTTGAATGCAATAATATGTTGTATTTTTCTTTTTCATTTCGAGCTAGAATGGAAATAAAATGAAGCTGGATAACTTTAATTCACCACTAAATGAAAATGAATATCCTGTATACGTATGGAGACCATAAAATGTAAGGTTGATGTTAGATGTGACATGGAAAACGTGCATTGCACGTGCATGATTACTAGTGGTAAGAAAAGGTGGCACAAGTTGCAATTTACTCTTAACAATAATACCGCACTTAGAAGTTCGATCAGCGAAAAAACAACTGCAGTACCAATAGTGCTAGAAGACAACTTCAGTAACAATAGTGCAAGCACTTAGGAGAGATCGATCACCTAGACGATAACTAGTACTATAATAATGGTGTTGCTAAACTATTACAGACAGAAAGGTACTTAGGAGATCGATCACATAAAAGACAACTACAATAATAGTGGTGCAAGTATTTAGGAGATCGATCACCTAGAAGACAACTATAATAATTGTGCTGCTAAGCTATTACAGACTTATCAGAAGCCAAACATACGAGTGAAGCTTGAGCATCCACAAAAATCAACATGCAGTTCCAATCTGCTGCTCCAACTTTTACTTGTAGAAACTTATGGATCTGAATCTCTAGCTGCATTAGAGTCCTCCAAATCAGTCCTCACTGGCTTCAGTGTCTTGAGGCTCTTTTTTCTCTTGAACCTAGCAAAGAATGTATACACTGATATATAAGAAAAAGTGTGCTCATGGATCACGAATTTCAAAGTAATATAAAAAAAATACAAGTTGCTATAGGAGTGAGAAATATACCTGAACATAGCCTTCTCGTACTTTGTTAATCATATCCGGAAGCAAATTGGTTGCAAAATAATCAAACCCCAAACTATGAATAGCTTCAAAAGAGGCCTTCTTGTCAAAACTTATCATTTCTTCGATTCTGCGTTTCCATACATCGGACAAATCGTCCTGCCAAAGGTTCTTCAACATAGTTTTGTCCTCGCGAGACAAACGTGAGTAGTTGGTCTCAGACAAATTCAACTTTATCATGTCTGAGGATGACAATCCAACCCAACAAATAGATGGCACGGAAATATTGAAATTGTCATATGCTGAATTGCAAGACCCTCTAGCATACGTAGCAAGAATACTTATACCTTCAGGATCTGGATCACAAAGTCCAAAGACAGGTAGTCCAGTGCGTTGTTTCAAGAATCTGAGGAAATCCCTTGTTTGGAGGGTTGGCATGCCACATCCTGTCAGAATTATACAGTTGTTATTGGTGTGATAGTCCATCTCTAGTAGATAATTCAACATTGTATGCTTTTCCACAACAAGAATATACTCTATGTTGCGTGAACCTATTTCAACACAAACATCTTTGATCTGGTCAAGCCTGTGTGGTATCTGCACTCCAATAGAACAACTAATCGATTTGCCATTTGTCAATTCCAGGAAAATGTTTCCAACTACAATTCCTTTTTCAGCTGCTATTATACCCAAAGAGCCCCTTCTGATATTTGTCAAAGCGCAGATGTCATTGATCGCTTGATCTGATTTACTTTGATCCCCAAACAGATCCTTGTTTGTGTATAAGACAGTTCTCTTCGAGATGTTCAATCCAGCCCCAAGTGTCCGTTCTATTAGATCAATGGTATAGCCAGTCCTAGATGCAACTTCCCGCTGATTCGCATTGCAAAAGGAACGGCTTATGGTCTTGCCTGCTTTTGCTAGAGAAACCTTGACTTCCTCATTAAACTCCATGTTATCTGTATATTTTGGAATATTGAATTTATATCCATGTCCCCTTTCAATTGTATTGATGTTCCCCTCTAACAACCTATTCAGAGTCTTCCTGGCTTCAACTCGACTCTTGTCTTTTGCAATAAAGTACCTATCATGAAAATCTTGGACCTTCTCCTCTGGCAGTTCCCATATAGGAACCGGGAGTTGTTCACCTTTGAAAATCACGTAAGGGTTGTACTTTTGAATCTCCGGAACAAAGTGTCCTTGAACTTGAGGATCATTACCACTGCCAGAAAAATAACCATAGGAATATACTCCAGCAGGTGGATCCTGTCCATCTTGAGCACTCTCAGTAGTATGAGTTTCGGGGCCGGGACCTCTGATATACTCGCGGCTGGTACGCCATCTGCTTGAAGAAACCTGACGATCATAAGCATAGTGTTTTCTTGGATGATACGAATCGTCATCCGTTGAATCATCCATTGGTGACCTCAAATCTGCATCGTAAGCAAACAATAGATATTAGATAGGGAAAAAAAGATAGGCAAGATTTAAAAAATACTCCAATTTCATATGGAGCAATAGGGAGATGTGTACGTTTGGATCTTTCTCCCACCTTGCTTAGCCAGGTAAGGATAAGTTAACTTTGATCATTTTCTAAGCACCCGTATAAGCACTTGGCACTTATCGGGATGACATGTTGCCATTTTGGCTTTCTATAAAAGCCGGGCTGGTGAGCCTTTGATCTAAAAACTTATCACTTATCATGGGCCTACATGAAAATTACTTCGTTACTGATTTTGATTGCTACCCTGAGCTATGCCTGAGAAAAAGTGCTGCCTGAGAGTTTCGTGATATTTTGATGTTTGTTGCCTGATGAGGCATATCTGAGTTGGTTCTGTTTGGTTGAAGACCTGAAACTAAATGTGCCTGAGGAAGATTAATAGTCACAAAACAATGTGTAGGGTAAAAAATGTGTTTAATTCTCTCATTAGTCCAAGACAGTCGATAGCTCGCTCATTCGGTTGAAGTATCCCCAAAATTCCAAACACAAATATCTTCTGCCAGTTGCTTCATGCAACAGCATGTGGCCGGCCAGATTGGAAGGGCTTTCGGCTTCTTTGCGCAATGTGGCAGCGACGGCAAGATCTGGCAGAACAGCGGCGCAATGTTGGCGGGATCTGACAAGGCAGCAGCCCAGCGGATCACAAGGCACTGCGCTGGAGATGAAGCAAGGCTAGGATTTGGTTTGCCAAGGATCCAAACGTGCCCGATTCAAAATCACCCAAATGGACCACAGGGCACGCGCACATCAAAACCGTAGAGAAGAGAGCAAGAGCCAAGAGGGAGAGAGGAAACCGCAGGATGAACAAAGGAAGGGAGGAGATTCACCTTTGCTGCGCGGTCGGGAAGAGGCCGCAGCGTCAACAAAGTCGCCGTCGCTTTTCGCCGGAGGAACGGATCTGAGCGAGAGGCAAGAAATTCCCCTCCTCTCTCTCTCTCTCTCTCTCTACAGTACTTGTTTCATTAACTGATTTTACTTTCTTTTTTTTTCTTTTACTGTTTCAGTAAAGTAGCTTTCATCGTCCGAGACTCCGAGTTCAAATGGCATTCCCTTCGTCGCATAATAATCATTTTTAGCCTTCTTCCTTTTTCCTAAAATAAGCTGGCTTTAAGTTTTTTTTTTAATAATGAAATATAACATCCGGTCTGTGCTTAAAAGAGCTACAACCAATTATTACAAACTACCACTCTAGAAACTAAGAAACTAGTGTAATTCAAATAAATTGAAAACAACAAACTAATAAAAGGAATAACCCTTATATGAAAAGGAGTACATATTTATTGAAGTTTGAGAATCTCCATTCATAATTGGCAAAAAGTTGCATAACCGTCGTCTCGAGCTTACAACATGTAACTTTTAGAAGTTCTTCATCTTCATCATACCTTTGTAATTGTACCCAACACCGGAGCCAATATGTTGCCTTGAAAATTACCTGCATATATGAAATAGATAATGATTTGTCAAAAATCATATCATTCCTACTCAACCACAGAGCCCAACATATTGCAGAAGCTCCAACCAACAGAAGTTTACTCTTTTTCCTGTCCACCCCTAAAAGCCACCTATAAAAAATATGAGATATGCTAATAGGAAGGTATAAACCAAAAGAGAATTGAACTGCTATCCATATAAACTTTGCACAAAGATAATAATAGACTCATTTTTCATACATAAACAACACCTTAAACTACCATTCCAATTACGTCTAGCCAAATTATTTTTAGTTAATACCATCCCTTTAAGCAAGTACCACATGAAGATCTTAATCTTAAGCGGCATCTTAAGCTTCCAAATTATCTTATTTCTCTCGATACAGCCATTATTAATCAAAGCTAAATACATTGACCCAACCGAGAACCATCCATTCTGATTATAATTCCATATAAAACAATCAGAAGATTGATTCAACTGGATATGAATAATAGAAGCACACAAATTATGCCAAGATACAAGATTCTGACTAACTAATGCCCTCCTAAGAGAAACATTAAGCGGAACGGAACCAATAACTCTAGCAATTGAAGAGTTCTTCCTTCTGACAATAGTATATAAGGAAGGATACTTATCTTTAAAAGCTAAGTTCCCTAACCTATCTTTCCAAAATCTTGTTTTTTCCCCATTATTCACAATCCAATAACCCATATTTAAGAAAGTACTCTTGACTTTCATGAGATCTGACAAAAATGAGAATCACCTTGTTTCCTATCAACTTGGGTTATAGACTGATTATAAAGATATTTTCTCTTCAATAAGTCCTGCCAAACCGCTTGCTCATTTATTAACTTTGTCGATGTTTAATAGTCACGACTAGGATATTTTGATGGTATGGGGATCGTTGGTACTAGGGTATATGCGAGATTGAGGTAAAAGAGATGGAGACAGGGATTTTTATATAGGTTCGGGTCCCTTATCTGACAGGTAATAGCCCTACAACAATTGGGATAACCTATCCTACCGTCGTCGACTTGGCGGCATAAACACCAACTCGCAGTCGATGAGGGGGTAGTCTTCCTCCTCGAATATGATCTCGTCGACATCAGAGATGGTGCTAGATCCCTCTTGCCGGCCTCTGTAGGTACTGGATTGGGTTTATCTAGGCTAATCTGCGATGTCGATATCTGGCAGGGTGTGTTGGCTTGCATCTTGTGGCTTCTATGTTGTGTCTTGTGGTTTGTCCCCTCTCCTCCTGGGGGGCTTGTATTTATACCCATAGGTGCCCCTTTGTCCAAGTAAAACTAGGGAGACCAATATGGACACAATCCGAGTAGTCCTTATCGTTTCCATGTAGAACTATATTTGTCCTTCCTTATCCAGAACTCCCTCTATGTATGAGGTTTGTTTCCATATAATAAGACATGGTATGTGGTGGGCCCTGCCGAGTTTAGTCGATTACTATTGGGTATGTGGTATCTATAACCCTGACAGTAGCCCCCAACTTCAATACAAATGAACGAGTTGATGTTCTCAATCGAAGACTTTGGAATAACTATTGTCGTGCTCGCTTGACCGTTCTCGGTGTGATCAGAAATAACGCTAGATTCCTCTTATCAGTCTTTGTAGGCACTATATTGGGTTTGTCTAGGTTAATCTCCGATGTCAACCGAGAAGGTACGGAGCATGCGACTAAGTCTCCTGTCTTGCCGTAATCGAGAATTTGGATTGAAGTCAAGAAATTCCATCTCGACGGGTACACCATCGCTTCATTCCATATTACTTGTCAAGCTCCATCAACCGTTCTCGAGTAATCGAGAAGGTGCAAAGTTTGCGACAAAGCCTTGAAAATCTGACTTGACTGTTTTGATGTCTGACTTTCCTGAAATCAATTCTCAGAACAGAATATTAAATAGAAATAGCCCCTGAGCGAACGCTCAAAGGGCAATATGTATGGAAAAATTGAAAATAAATTGAATATATGTGCGGCAATAAAAAAATACGCTCGCTAGAGTTTCCCTCAGCAAACGGAGTTTGGTACCCTTCCTAGCCCCCAACTGTTTTTTATGGAAAAACTATTTTCCACAAAGACAGCTTGAATCTTATAACAAACCAAGCTAAAGTTGACAAATCCTAGCCTCCGGCCGTGAAGTTGGAAAAGTCAATTTCCGATTACACGGCTTGGTTAATACGCATCCATTGAGCATTCTTACATGACCAGGTTTTACATGGTTGTTCGGCTCTTATAATCCAACAAGACCTTATCTGCTCTGGGCGTCCCCAGCCGAAATTCCCTTAGGTTTCTCGGAGGTTTGTTAGAACATCGTAAAGGGACAGTAGGACTGACTTCAAGACGAAGGTGATATAAGAAAGGAGGATCACCAGACAAATATTGCACATATAAACACTTACAGAAGTTGACGTATATGAAGTGATGAGATGACTTCCACACCGGGTAAAGACCTGGTGTATAGTTGCTGGTCGAAGACCAGTCGTAGTCGTACCTTGACCATTAGAAGTCGTGGTGCGAGGACCGCTATGTTGCTGGTCGAAGACCAGTCGTAGTCATACCTCGACCATTATAAGTCGTGGTACGAGGAGCGCTACTTTGCTGGTGGAAAACCAGCCGTAGTCATACCCCGACCATTAGAAGTCGTGATACGAGGATCACTACATTGTTAATCGAAGACTAGTCGTAGTCGTACCTCAACCACTTGAAGGGAATCCAGAGTAATGGATTGACGACGTTCTCGTGACCTGCAAGAACTGTCTCCTAATGACAACAAAGACAAGGAATAATTATCGTAGTTGGAGGTTTGGCTCCTCGACCTACTAACTCGTTCTCAGGCCCTCTAGAAGTCTGGGATCTCGAGTTTCGTCGTCGTCATGTGATGTCGTTAACCTTGTCCATTGTCGTCCTGATGTCGTTAGTCTTGGACGTCGTCCTGGTGACAACGGCGATCTAGTCGGTCTTGGTTGTCACTATCACGACAATGTTGATTGTCGTGTTAGATGTCGAGAGATTGCAGTAACCGACTGGTCAAGTACTAGTAGTAGGCGTATCTCGATCACGCGAAGATGAATTTTTAGATGATGAGAGATCACTACGATCTACTGGTCAAGGACCAGGTGTAGGCGTATCTCGATCAGCTGGAGATGAATTTTTAGGTGGTGAGAGATCGCTACGATCTACTGGTCGAGGACCAGATATAGGCGTATCTCGATCACCTGGAGATGAATTTTTAGGTGGTGAGAGATCGCTACGATCTACTGGTCGAGGACCAGGTGTAGGCGTATCTCGATCACCTGAAGATGAATTTTTAGGTGGTGAGAGATCGCTACGATCTACTGGTTGAGGACCAGGTGTAGGCGTATATCACCTGGAGGGGCGCTAGAGTTTCTGATTACATGTGTATCTCATGTGGCCAGCATGACTCACATACCCAACTTGTAGCATATCCGGATGTCTGTTCGCAACCATGTCGGGTGATCAAGCCGACAACGTTCATGAGGAATTATCCATTAACAACCCTTTCTCAAATAATCCAGCCGTAGCTGGCGCTATATATGAGATAAGTCGTCGGTCTTCATTGGTAGGTTGGGTGCGACAACTCAACATTTGTTGAGAACGTTTTCGATAATGGGGTGTACTCGACCACATCCTACTCGAGTGCTCACTGCTCAATTGTTCCTGAAGAATATTTTATAGAAGACAAGATATATAGCAGAGAATATCGAGTATGTACTCAAAAAACTACATGAATCTTCTAGTATTATCAGGATATAATGAGAAGATTAAATATTGGGTATTATGTAAACCATGAACAAGCATGATTTATACAGAAGAAGAAAGAGCGAGCCCCGTAGTCGGTCTAACACTGGAAACACTCACACTGTAGATATTGTATAAAAATATGCTCTAGGTAAACATAATAAATCATACATCTGACAATATTGTATTGATTTGAAGAATAGGTACGATAAATCACATATAGAGTATTGCGTACCTATGTGGATACATGCCGGATGTATCTATGAAATTAGTAGATTAAATTAAAAAACCAATCTACCAATTACCTTGTTACATACTCGTTTGACATCATATAATCTGACATCTTTCGATACGTCGAGTATCTTGAGGCTTGGATGATCTTGATAGATCAAATTGTTAACGACGATGGTTCCGATCTTATCAGGGAATGTACTCTGGTCGGGTCAAATTTCCCAGGTCCAAAGTAGTTGAAGTATCCCTCGTCGAAAAGTCCGCTGCTTTGATGAAGCTTGAGATGGCGAGGATCCCGGTCCGCCAGATAACGCACTTCGGTTAGGTTGGATCCCCCCATAGCCGAAGTCGTCGAGTAGCTTGTTGTTGGAGAATCCATCTCTTAAACCCATCTCGTCGAAACCTTGAAGCACCAAGTTCCCCTACCTGGCGCGCCACTGTCAACGTTTGATAGTCATGATTAGGGTATTTTGATGGTATGGGAATCGTCGGTACCAGGGTATATGCGAGATTGAGGTAAAAGAGATGGAGACAGGGATTTTTATACAGAT